GAGAGGCGGGGAGGAAGCAACTTACCCTCCCTCTTCTCCTGCCTCCTCCTGGCTGAATGAGGGCTGGAAGCGGGGCGGCCATAAGCAGGGGGCGGGGCTTTGTCATGTGCCCCGCCCCCCACCTCACCCGGGAAAACGGCGATCCCCCGCAATCCCCCCGAATCGACCTCTGAGAACATGTACATTGCCAGGAACTTTTTGAAGTAAGAGCAGGATGAATAAGTGTTAGATGAATGTGCTGGATATCTGGGGAGAGGGGACAGTATAAATTTAGGGGTCTAAATTGTAAATTGTACATGTAAATTGTACATTATGATCACATATATCACTACATAAAAGGAACTGTAAAGGTTGTTGCAGATTCTCCAGGCTGTATGGCTGTGGTCTTGGCATTGTAGTACCTGACGTTTTGCCAGCAGCTGTGACTGGCATCCTCAGAAGTATAACACAGAAAGATGGAGTACTCTCTGTGTCAATAATCCATCTTTCTGTGCTATACCTCTGAGGATGCCAATCACAGCTGCTGGCGAAATGTCAGGTACTACAATGCCAAGACCACAGCCATACAGCACAGAAAATCTACAACAACTAATGAACTCCGGCTGTGAAAGCCTTCGACAACATATTGAACAATAAAGGCTTTCTAAGCACTTGCTGGTACCAAAAATGGAATGTCAATTTAGAGAACACACCCTGTCCTGAACTGTGTACTGTACTGATTAGTGAATTCTTTCTTAGTACATCTACACAACTGCAAATGTAATAAGATTATATTCTAGCCTGCACTGTCTCTATCCTGCAGTAACAGTAGCTGATAACAGAACAAGTCTGCCTATCAGGTGATCATGATACCTGGCATCATCATGGAACAGCTGCACAAACTGTGGTTAAGATGTGGGCTTTAACTAATAAAGCACATACTGTTCTCCAGGGAGACATTTCCTTCTCCCTAAAGCACTAGGAGTCTGCTTTCAATAAATAAAGAAGTTTCCATTCCTCCCTTCACAAATACCCTGGTCCAAACTTGGTTTTCTATGCAGAAGTTTTCTGGACTGTGTAAAAGAAAAGCTGCAAGCTTGGCCATTAACGGTAGAGCTCAAACTGCTTTTAAAGCCCATCACAGTCACAAACATCGATGGCAGCTTATTTTGTAGATAGAGAGAAAAAAGTCCATAATGCTCCAGCTAGCATTGGCAGGGAGGGATGGGGGTGGTACTTCTGCAGAAGGGTCTGTAAGCTGCTGTGGGTAGTTTTTTCCAGATAGCTGGATGACAGAGTTCATTATTATTTATTTACTTAACTTGTTAGATTAGGTTTGTATACTGCCCTCCCCACAAGAGGGCTCAGGGCATTTCACAACAGATTCATATAAAACGCATAAAATCTATTAAATAATTTAAAATGTAATTCTAAAACCCAATAGCCATATGGTGCCATCATACAATTCTGGTCCCCCAGATTACATTAGCAATGAGGGAAGAAGGGTGAAAGCAGATTGTGAATCAGAAAGTTATTAAGAACTATTAAGCGGTTTAAAACCGTTGCTGTCCTCAACTGTATGCTTAGCGGAACATCTCTGCCTGCGGAATTGCAACAGATCCTGCAAGGCCCTGATTAGAGACTGGACTACATGTAAAACTTTCTAAAAGCCCAGGCTTATTTGCTGTCTCTCGTTAGGTTTACTCAGGGGTCGTTTCGTAGAAAAAGAGCTAGGGGAACTCATTAGCATAACTCATTAGCATATGCCACACCCCCTGACATCACCGGAAGTGTGTCATAAGGCCACACACCCCGCCCCCAACGGTCCCGGCCGCCACCGCCGGCCTTGCAGCTCCACTGCCGAGCCCCATGAGGGGCCCGGCGGTGGACCTGCAAGGCCGGCAGGAGTGCAAGGAAACTCCGCAAAGGGCCCTCCCTGGCCCCAGGCAGGGGTGGGGAGAGGCAGGGAGGAAGCAACTTACCCTCCCTCTTCTCCTGCCTCCTCCTGGCTGAATGATGGCCGGAAGCGGAGCGGCCGGAAGCGGGGGGTGGGGCTTCATCATGTGCCCCGCCCCCTACCTCATCCGGGGGAACTGCAATCCCCCGCGATCCCCCCGAAATGACCTCTGGGTTTACTGAGGATGCTTGGCTCTTCCCTGCTTGGTTTCCAGGATATTCAACATTTAGTTGTAGGAGGAAGGGGCTAGAGAGCACACCCCCCCTCCAGCTACTGCCGTTCCAGTACCACCAATAGAATAATGTCAGAGACAGAATAGTGGAGGATAACTTATTTGGTATGGTGGCAGGGGAAAAGAAGTTAATATTTGTATTTTTTTAAAAAAATCTTGTAAACTGTTTTCAGTAACTTATGGTCAAAATGCAGGCTATAAATCAAACACATAGCATGATCCTGGAGGAGACCCCCCCCCCGGGGGGGTAGCAAAAGAGTTCTGATATTATTGTCATAATTCAATAATCTTTTGTTCCTATTTACTGTAAAATTAGAACAGAATTAGATCTGTTTATCCAAATATGGCTCAAAGAAGCCAATAATCCTGTTTCCCCCCCAGTTTCCTTTAACCTTCTGCGTGTGTATATATGTGTAGGCAGGAGTTAGATCTCTTTTTTTTTCTTTCAAAGGATGGCTGACATACCATAACTTTTACAGTAATTCACCTTGAGTCCCAATGAGAAAGATGGACTATAAATAATGTAAATAAATAAATAAATAAAGGTGTAATGTTCATTATAGAAAGATGCCACATCCTCATTGAGCAAGTTATTTTGTCTCCTGACTATTTTGTGTCATATACCTATTCTTGCTTGTTTGAATAGATGCTGCTTATTAAAAGCAAGCAATGAAGACAAGGTCCTTGAGTCCAGCGTTAGCTGAGCTAGTAATAATTGGAAGAGTAGAGACCCTTTTTAATCAGAAGATAAGGACTTCTGCAGTTCAGGCAATGCTTCATTTGTGTGTGTGTAAACTTTTAAATCAATCACATTCAAATTACAAAACCAAAAGACTTTCCCTATCTTCTTTATAACGCTTATTGCAATGTTTTGGTGTTGTCTGGGTGTTTTAGTGTTATCTTTACAGCAGTGCTACTGGATTTATAGAACCCTTCCAGTTCAGTTGCAGTAAGAGTCGAACCATTGCTCTTTAGTGGGTAAAGTTAAAAATCTGACCATTAGCATGAATTCCATACTTCTAGAAATCTACAAATGAACACCAAAGGATTATAAGGGGGGGAGGGGAGACTTTGTTTTCAGATGATCAAGTCAGTCATCTTTTTTGACAAAGTGAGCTTTGACTCACAAAAGCTCATAGCATGGGAAGTTTTGTTGGTCGAGTTTTGTTCTGTTACAGACTAATATGGCCACCCACCTGACACTATATTCTTTTTTGGTCACATTAATATTGGTAACTGTGCTGTGCCTCAGAACTGCAAGCATGAGGGTGCTGCAGCAGCTAACTATTGGGGATTCCTGGGGCTTCATTTGATCATGCGCCTAATTCTGTGTGATTTTGCTGACAGGTATTTGTGTTCTGCCATGGCCTGCTACAGCTGTCTCAACTCCTCTACAGTGCATACTTCAAGAGCATCCTGACAACCATTGAGAGACGCTATGGCCTTTCCAGTTTCTCCTCTGGCTTCCTCTCCAGTTTGCATGAGGTAACTACATTGAGCATGGTTCATGAGAAGGAGGCTGGAGGCTCTTCTCTTCTGAGCTCATGTGTGTGTTGCCTTAAACCTACCAGGTATCCGTGGTTAAGTAATGATTGTCGATAAAGTATTGGTGGATGAGGGCCCCAAACTGGAGTGAGCTAAGGTGAAAAAAGAAAAGTGGTAGCTTTGTGGTGTGGAAGAAGATGCATGTTATAGTGTCTTGCTGCCAGTCACCGACCAGAGAGCTGTTTGTGTACAGTAGAACAATGTCCTAATGAGTCTGGATAGGTTTGGCAGCATAGTCTAGAGAGTGTTAGCCAGACAAGTATTATGTAAGTGTGTGGCTCTTGCCAAAACAGCAATTTCACATTTAGCTCACCTCACCCCACCACAGCTAGTAGAACTTACTCCATGTCATGATGTTCTGTGTTTCTCTGCCCTGTGGTATTGGCAGCTGTGGCAGTTGAAAAGCAGACCATTTTGACATTGCAACACAACCGAGCCTTCTTTGAGAGCAAGTGAGCATTTAATAGAACTTATAGCTGGGTGCTGAGTAACTGAGAAATTGCCATTCAAAGAAGAACATTTGTCTCTTTGTGTTTCTGAAGTTGTTTTCCTGTAACTGCGAGAGTTAGGAGGGGCCCGTCAACTACTCTGCACATGTTTTTCTACCACATTGTGCTGGTGGCTCCCTGTGGGCTCACAAATAGTGTAGTATTATTTATATTGTTGCTTCCACTACCAAGTGATTGCTGGTGGGGACTAGCGATTTTGTGTGTACGTGTGAAGGAGAGATTTTAAGAAAGGCAGCACAGGTACATTTTTGGAGTAGCACCTGCCCCCATCAGGTGAAAGCGTTCCAGGGAAGAAAGCAGTGAGAAAGCCCTTTTGAGGTCTGATGGCCTCTGGCTTTTTAACTGTTCCTCAGAGAAAGAGGAGGACCTGACCTACATTTCTGGGCCTCCCCACAATGGAGTCGTGCTACACCCATGGATTTAATAGATATGCGCTTTCTGCCAGACCTTCAGAAGTGTTGCCGCATCTGATGTGTAATGCTATGTTACACATTAATGCTTTATTACAAGAAGGTGCAACCCCCCAATTTGTTATGGAGGAGTGAGTCAGACCGTTACAGCATCCCCTGCCTGATCCAGGACTTAAGACTGGAGCTTTTCATAGCCTGATAGGCTTTCTTATAGTAGCGCCTTTACTTGTAGCCCCATAATTAAGCTTCTGTCAGTGTTTCCCATGAGAAATCCCTCTTCCTCAGGGATGTAGTTATCGCTCTGGGTGGGAACCCAGCCAACAGCAACGGTTTTGTTGCTAGATTCTTGGTTGGTTTGCTTCTATGAGTACCATGTGGAGTGTGGAAGACCCTCCAACTCCAATTATTTCTCTTCCTTTAATATTCTCTGTTTCCCAAGGCAAAGTACATTGCAGCCCCTTTCTCCTAAAAGGGTTCAGAGCTCCCTGCTTCCTTTTTCTTAAGCAAAAAGCTCTGTAGCTTAAAATCTATTCTGAGGGGCTCAAATACCCTGGGCAGTTCTCCTGATTTGGAGCCGGGGTGAGCATCTCCATCAACTGCTCCTGGCCACTCTGCTTCACTTCTTCACTTCTTCCAGTAGATCCAAGCTCATGGTTCTCCCATTGGAACTGACCCAATGGGAGGAATATCTTTGGATGCTTGTAGAGATAAGAGTGCAAAAGTGTCTGGGGCAGACTTGCACTACACAGTTGGCAGAGGGGCCATTGAAAGCCAAGCTTTGCAACTGAAGGCAACTTTCTTCCATACTCAGTTGTCAGTGACAAAGAACAAATTGCTTCCTACAGCCCCAAATCAGGTTTGGGTTCAATAAGACATAAACAGGTCTAGATCTGGTATCTTGTCCATCCACTGCCGTTGCTGCTGTAAATGAAACAAGGCAGGTAAGCCTACCCACTCATCTATGGGAGATTCTCCCCACCCTCTACCCCAGGCAGTATTGTTTTGCACTAGTTGGGGCTACAATCCAGATTTTGCCTTGCTCGAGCAGCTTTGGATTTAAGCCATAATGACTCAGAACCAGCAACAGTTTTGATTTTTGTTGATATTTGGCAAAGCATCTGGAGTCTGGCAAGAGGTGCCATCCAGTTCTAGGAGTCTTGGAGGGGGAAACATGGAGGAGAAACGTTGAATTGGCGAGGTCCCTGCTGCATGTGCACAGGCTGTTCTTTCAGCATGGCTTTGGCACATGTACCACACATTGGCAGAAATGTGAAGCTTATGGGGCTGGAGTAAGCATGTGCCTCAGGCCCTGGCACAAACAAAAGAGACCAGAACCAGCAGTTAGACATCAGGGGTGAGCACTGTTGTCTCACACAGCTCTACAAGGAAAAGGATTTGCCAAACCCTCACATTAACTAGGAACATAAGAGCTGTTTAACAACATTAGCACAATGACCCATCTGTTTAGATTTGCTGTCTGCCACATTCCTCAAGAAATGTTCTAGAGAAATAAGAGCCTATGGTTCTAGCCTAATAGCCTGTCTCCAGCATCGATTGCTTCCAGATACTTGGGAGGAAAAACATACAGCACAAGGTGCTGTCAAAAAAGCACCCTTCATTTAGTCCATGGGTAAAAGGGAATCCAGAAATTAAAGTTTACAGACCCGGTGTTGTACTTCCTGGGCAAACAAATTGCCTGCTTATTCAGAGTTCCAGGTTGCTCCTGCTGGGGCTATTCTTGCTACCTATGTAATTTGTGTACTATTAAAGAGTTATTTTCTAAGTAGGCAGGCATAGGAGGGGAGGCTAGAGCTGAGCTTTCTTGGGGGCACCTGTTTGGGGGGATATAGCTCAGACATCCCAAATCCAGTCTTCACCAAACTTGGATGGTGAGTGGAGGTCAGCCTGCTGAAGACTCCCTGTGAGTTTGGTGTGTCTAACTCACGAAGGGTGTTCTACCACCCCCCCAAACTCACAAACCAAGGCCCATTCTGCATTCACTCCATTGTTTTACCAAACCCACACTGGAACAGAAATGATGCAGCTCAAAACCACATTCAAATACCCCAGGCCAATGCTGTACTGACTGCAGAGTCACCCCTGAACAGCCATAAAATGGCCATAAATCTATGCAGACAGTACCATAAAACCAAGAGATCAAAGGTAGTGAAATCGGCATGCAGTGTGGAGGCTATCATGAAATCCGACAATCAAAGAAAGCAAAAGTTGCATGCAATGTACAGGGGAATTTCTGTTCCAACATGGGTTTGGTAAAACAGCAGAGCGAATGCTAGATGCAGAATGGGCCCAAATGAACCACAAACTGGTTCAGGAAACAGGAAAAGTTTGTGAAAGTTCATGGTTCATGTAATCAAATAAATCATGAACCACCATTTTCCTGGTTCATGCCCATCCCTAATAGGTATCCCTAGAAGAGAAGTACAGTTGGTAGGTAAAATCCGAGCCTTTTGTGCCTCCAGTAGTCTGTTTATGGTAATGAAGATCACACGCAGAAGTTCTGTCTCAGTCTCATTCACACATCATAAAACCCCATGTATTAGGCTCTTGATCTTAAATTTTTAAGCATCTTTTTCTGGTAGGTCTTGTGGGAAGGGAATAGCAGTGCTGCACAACTTCTCTCACCCCCACCCCACCCTCACCTCATCCATACACATAGCAACTTTGGAGGACAACACCTTCCCTCTGGCAAGCAGATCTATCTGTGGCATTTTTATCCTACCCTTCCTCCTGATGGTTCTGCGCATGAGGCAGATTTTACTGAGAAAAATATCAATAGCCAAGGTCACCCAGTGAGCATAATGGCTGAGTGGGGATTGAAACCTCGGCCTTCTCAGTCTAGTGGTCTCTGCTTACCACTACACCACCCTAGCAAGGGAAAGCAAATTGCAGATTCTTTCTGGTTGGTTGGCTCAGTCTTCCTCCTGTCTACCATCACATTTTCTTACTACTCTGTCTGGGATTGGCAGTATGTATCTCCCCACTTTAGAGGAGTTGTAAAATACAGCACCTTCAGAATCATTATTTGTAAGACTGATCAGGAATTCATTTTTCATCATTCAAGCAAATGTATGAACTACTGCTTGTGTTGATGGTAGTGGGGCTATTACCACAAGCAGTATGTCAGTCTATGCAAAATGCTGTGCACGCTGATCTCTTGCATGCTTCTGCAAATGCCATTTTCCCATTGATTGCCTTTCATATCAGTGTTGGAGTTTCATATTTTGAGCAGCTTGCTGTCAGCATAAGCAATGTTTGCCATGTTTGGGAGAGTCATGAAAATAGGCTGCTGATATGTCAACATTCACATCTGCCTTCCATCAGGATATGGCTTTTGCATTGCCTAGCATAGCACTGGTTCTATACTTGGTGTATAGTTTACTATTGATTTTCAATCTTGGGGGAAATAGGAATGTGCCAGAACTGCACTTAGAAATACCCTCTCATGCCCTGAAATGCTCCAGCGAAAACCTGAAACATACCCTTCCATTCACTTTCACAGCAGGGGACACAGGAACTTCCTAAGTACTTTTGATACAATCAAGATGTTTGCTTGCACTTGGACAATCTCTTATCCTGTGTGCTTTGTGGTGGCCTTTTCTGTGCATTTTACTGTGGTAATAGCCATTCCAGCCCGCAAGCAGCTACCATTGCCATCCTCTCGGAGTCCTTTGTTTGTACTTCAGGGCATTTTTCATACTTTTATATGGGCCCTCATGCCAAAATAATATAGCATTTTCTCATTTATTCGTTAGAGCAATTCCAAAAGCCGCAAAACCAGGCAGGGAAGCCCATATTACGTACATAAGAAAGGAAGCTTGGGCACAATTAGTGTTGCTCAAAATGTTAAATTTGCCTCAAAGTTTGAATCCAACCAGATTAATTGTAACTTTTATGAAACCCACATTTTATGCTTAACCATGGCATCCCATGCAATATGGGGATGTTTTGAGACAACAAAAAAGGGAATTAACTCATACAAAAAAAACCTAGACCCACATACTTCCAGCAGTACAGGTTCTAAAAGTCAATCTTTCAACTGAAACCAGGAGAAATGTGATTCAAATTGAACATTCATATTCTTGCACTGGCCATTAAAGAAAGTTCTGCTTCAGTAGATTTGTGAATGGCTTGACATGTAGGGGCACAGCCTCACTTAGTTCAAATCAGCATTCTGAATAGGCTTGCATCACCCAAAATGTATTTGGCAGAAAAGAATGCTGAATTGCTTGCAATCAGTAGTTCTTCGGGGACCTTATTTGTTTATGGAGGTGGCCTCTGAAAGCAGTCCTAACCAAACCAGCCCTAACCATTGATAGCAAAGCAGTCAACTAGGCCACACTCACTTAATATTTAATTTCTCCATATCAGCAATTTAAGAAAACATTATTATTATGGACAATAAGCATGTTTGTGAAACTGAGCCTGTCAATGAGTAGTAGAAATAAAATTTCATTTATGTAGTTTAAGTAAAACCCACTTTGAATCTGTGCTTGCACAACTGCTGATCCCCATTCACACACACAGCCTGCAGACCAGTCCAAACACATGAAAATAAACCACTCGCCAAACTGTGCGGCCTGGAGTAAAAATGTCCTGTCCTTTTAACAGAGGCTTTATGTAATGTATTCAATAGCTGCCATTGAATGCATAACGTGTATGTAAATTACCTTGTTGAAGTGTCATGTAAAGCTTCGTCCTGGGCTAGGATCCAAATCCCTCCAATCGTATTGGAAGCCCAGGAAGAACCAACCAATCAGGTACCAGCAAGCTCCCTGAGTGGGAACGTCTATGATTTGTCCTTATGTACACCATCTTATTGGTTGGTATTTGTACAGTAGGCATGGCTATATTAGCCGGGAGAGTTTAAAAGCAGAACAGCTGCAATGTAAAAGCTGTTCTGGCTATTCATGTTGATCCGTGTTGGAGTTGTGTTTGAGTTGTTGAATAAAGCTGAATCTTTGCTGAATCACTCTCTGACTATTTTGTTAAGTGAGCAACTTAACAATTTATTATGTAGATATGAGTAACTGAATCTGTCCATGGCATGGAGATAAATAACATCTCGTTGAGGCTCTGTTAAAGGCATTTTTCTCTAGGCCTGTTGGCAACCCTGTGGGCTTCCACAGTGACCAAGACTCCAGGAATGATGTCCCTAATTCCAGCAGCCCTGCATGTTTGATAAAAGTGGATAAGAAGTTGAATAAAATCAACTGACTTACAAGTATGTGAGACAAGCCCTGATCCTGCAAGGCTTTTCCCTGTGTCTTGCTTACATTTGTGCTACAGCCGATGCCTGTTCTGAGAAAAGTGCTAATGGAAAGACTTTCCAGCTATAGAGGAAAATGACAAAAAAATCTGTAGAATTGGACACTGAAAAATGTACACGCTCAGTAATGAATATAATATGGAAAACTGGAACAATGTAATTATGTATATAATATAAAGTGATGCAATCATATAATTCATCAAAGGTGAGAAATCATAAGAAGGTCATACAATTCATCAAAGGTAAGACATTTACATTGCAGTTTCATATATTTTTAAACAGTTTCTAACACCTTCATTCATATTCAGTCCATACCCCATGTCATTTTTGCTGAAGAAGATGTGACTCAAAATGGAGTATACACCCGGGATCTTCGTACCTTTGTACCTTCTGATATTACATTATTCCAGTTTTCCATATTATATTCTTTATTGAGCATGTGCATTGTTTAGTGTCTGGTTCCACAGCTTTTCTTGTCATTTTTTTCTGAGAAAAGGGCATGTTTGCAAAGTTCCCATGCTGGAACTAAAGCCTGCAGCTCATGAGGGGTTGTTGGAGTGCCAGTCTACACAAAAGGGCCTGTCTGCATGCAGCTGGCATGAAAATGTTGCTAGTAATTTATTTAGTGCATTTATGTGTGCTCTTCTTCCAAAGACCTCAGGGTGGCTTACATGGTTCTCCCTGCCTCTCCCAGCAGCCCTGGGAGGTAGATGTGGTTGAGAGAAGAGGATTGGCTCAAGTTGCCCATCAAGTTCTTGCAGCAAGCCGGGATTTTAATGTGGGTCTCCCCAGTCCTTATCTGCCTGCCCCACTTGGTGTATATTGATTTAGCTCTTTGTTAATTAATTCTTCAGTGAATTTCACTAAAAAGAGGAAGTAAAAGAATATTTATCTTTCCTAAGGCAGTCAGGGCAATGAGTGGTATAGAATCTTACTATGCCAGATTATTTTATCTGGGCATCATTTCACTGGCTGTGATCCTGTTGGTTTAGTGCTCCTCAGCTATGATGGTTGAATGAGAAGCTTTTAAATCTAGTGCTTGGAGCCCTTACTCACCTACAGTGTGTATTAAATGAACACTTTGTGGAGGGCTGACTCAGTCACAGCAACATCACGCGGTGACTTGAATGTATAAACTGAGCCTTTGCAGAACAAATATCAGATCAGGCATTAAAAGATTGCTGATAGAACTTTCAGGTCATCTCAAACTCGGGCCTTTTCAGCAGATTTGTTGAAATCACCAAATGCTGAGTGATCAGGAGAAGCGCATGCATCTAGACCAGCCCATAGCTTTTGCAACCATCTGGCCTCCCTTAGTATTCTACTAAGCACTCCTTCGCTCTTCCTGTCTGTTCCCATGCTTACGTTTAACCCTTCCATAAGTGTGCGGACTCTAATCTGGGAGATCCAGGTTTGATTCCCCACTCCTCCACTTGCAGCTGCTGGATGACCATGGGCAAGCCATAGTTCTGACAAGAGCTGTCCTTGAAAGGGCAGTTCTTGAAGGAGCTCTCTCAGCCCCACCTACCTCACAGGGTGTCTGTTGTGAGGAGGGGAAGGGAAAGGAGTTTGTAAGCTGCTCTGAGACTCCGAGTGAAGGGCGGGGTATAAATCCAATCTCCTTCTTCTTCTTCTTCCTCTTCTTCTTCCTCTTCCTCCTCTTAGCTAATCATGGGTGGAGAGAGATGCTGGGGTGTTATTTGGTTTAGCACAAAAGGAAGGCCTACATTTGAGTTCCTTCTCCCTTTGCACACACAGTCCTGCAAGCTGTTCATATTGTTTTCATCATCCTAATTTGTTTACATTGCTGTGTGCTGAAGAGGCCTAAGTATATAGAATGAGGAGAGAAAGCAAAAAGGTTTGGGATCTTATGCAGGGCCAAACCAATATTCCTTAGTTTTGCAGTGCTGTCTCATTTATGGATGGTCGGTTCACCAACATGAGTGAGGGGATCTCTTCTCTTGGTTCTTGTCACTACCAGTTTGGTGGTGAGAGCCAGTCACTACCAGTTTGGAGAGCCAGTTTGGTGTAGTGGTTAAGTGCGTGGACTCTAATCTGGGAGAACCGGGTTTGATTCCCCACTCCTCCACTTGCACCTGGCTGGATGACCTTGGGCAAGCCGTAACTCTGATAAGAGCTGTTCTTGAAAAAGAGGAGTTTCTCTCAAGAGCTCTCTCAGCCCCACCTACCTCACAGGGTGTCTATTGTGGGGAGGGGAAGGGAAAGGAGTTTGTAAGCCACTCTGAGACACCTTTGGGTCGCTTCTTCTTCTTCTTCTACTGTGGCTATCCCAAGCCTTACCAGTCTGAGGTGGTTTCCACAATGGGGACAGGTTTTTGTAGCTTTCCAGTTGCTGGTGCAGCTGTGGATAAAACGTAGCAAAAACAGGGCTTTACGTGGCAGATTTCTCTGCAGGTTTCCTGTCCCAATACCTTGCAGTCCCCCCCCAAAAAAATCAGCACCAGAATATTGTTATATTGATATTCCATTATAACACGGTGTAGCAGGTTCTCTGAATTTTCAGCTTTCATCTTCTTTAAGTAAGTCTCTAGCCGCTTCCCTTTAGAAGATGTGGTTTTTTCCATTAAATCTCTGTAAGTGAGGGGGCTAGTCTTAAAAAACGAAGGCTGAAAGTTCAGAGAATCCAGTACACTTATTATGGTATATAGATATAACAATATTCTGGTGCCAATTTTTTAAATCCCCCCCCCCCCCCGTGGTGGTGGGGAGGAAATGGTTGCCATGTGGGCTGGAAAATCCAAATTTTCCCACCCTCACAGCAGCCATATAGGCTTTATTGGGACCTTTTCCAAAACTTTGGAGCAAAGCAAGTTTGGGACAGATTGGAGAAAAATGGTGGAAATCCCCATAGGCACACTAATGCAATATGATGTGAAGGGGGAGGGAGAAAAAAAAGCTTCCCAAAAGCATTGAACTTGGGGCACATAACCTTTGTGGCTAATGGCCTGATTCAACAAAGCAGAAGCTTTGCAGCTGTATAAGTGTGAATTTCAAATGTGTGGGTCAGCAGCAACTTCATTCCTGGGAAATGTCTTACAGTCTGCCGTAGTTCTTCCTACTTAAAAAAAATGGTACTAAACAAGCTGAGAATGAGCTAAAGCTAGGAAGTAAAGTAGAGGTGCAAATGCACCTTGTCCTGTGCCGTCGCTGCTGTTTCTCCTGTCTCAGGGTTGTTTTCACCTTCTCAGCTGTGCTCTCTGATCTTCACAGATTGGCAATGTCATCCTCATCATCTTTGTCAGCTACGTTGGGAATCGAGTTCACCGGCCTAGGATAATAGGTCTTGGAGGCTTGCTGATGGCAGTTGGAGCCTTCCTTCTGACCCTTCCACATTTCATCTCGCCCCACTACAAATACTCTGCAGCTTTCCTTGGTACGTATTTTGCCAAAGATCTCTGCTGCAGCCCTTGGACAGAAAGTTGGGGGCTTTGTGAAAACATGCTGCCTCCTGTTCTTGGGATCTGTCCTAAAGCACTAACACTGTGCAAAGATCGGCTTTCACATATCCTGTGAGGTAGGTATGATGTCTCCCTGGTAAATAAGCTTGAAAAACGTCATTAAATGTGTAACTACTTGGCTTTGAGCCTTCCTTTCTTCAAAGATCCCCAGAGGCATGCTACAGTCACTGTGCAATGACTTGCCTGTTGTGGGTGTGCCAAACTGGATTAGTGCCAGAGCTACCTGAGGCAATGCATGTTTTGATTTATGTCTGGTATCAATGGACACCGTTCTGTATTGAATCGCTTTGTTCAAAGTGTCAATATCAATGGAGGACCCACCAAAACTGCGCAAGGGCTGTCTGCAATGGAGAAGTAAATGTAAAACATATACTTTCCCTTGCTCCCTAAATTCAGTAACACAAAGGACAGGTGCATTAATCTTCTCATAATCAGCTTTGCCTCCAAACATTCACCCCTTTCATTTCATATCAAGCAGCGTGCCAGGGTCATCTGTCCCCACAAACCTCCTAGGCTGGCTGGAGGAAGTATGGCTTCTCACAGCACCAGCTGATGTTACTTGAGGTGGTGCCAGACATATGTTGAGAAAGTCAACACATCAGTCATTATTCTCTTCTCAAAGAAGGGATGTGTGAAAAGGGAAAACTCCTCCAAGATGGTTGGCAGGTACACATGGCTTCCTTCAATACCTTCTAATCATAGAAAATGATCGTGTAATAACTCTTAGTTCTTCTGTCACATTTATCTGTAGTGCATCTAGGCACTTGCTTGCAGGAAGTAAACTGAAAAGCATTGTTCCCACTTGTCCTCAGAAAGGAAGGAAACAGAGGCATCAGAAGGCTTGGGAACGGCACCTCTGAACCCTAGATTCCCCACAGCCTCTTCTGTACTGACTGCCAATTACACCCAAAATCTTTGTATGCAATCATCTCATTTTGTGGTACTTTGTGGCTGTATGCAACAACATTAGAATTGTGCTTGTGAAGAGAAGGCATATGGAAAATGTCATGTTGAAGTTGGAAGGCCATATGGATTTTGCAGGCAAGTTCTTGTGAGCAAGAGTCAACTGTAGTTCAGTGTCCAGTCCATAGAGCTTTGCTGTGGATTTTCAGACATGTTCTTGGTGGGAAATAGTCCATTAGATATGTGCACTGTAGCCTATAATGGGCAGTTTGTCAACAGATGTGCAAGAGAAATGACCTTTAATAGGATGAGAGATGACCTCTGATGAGAAATGACCTTTGAAATGATAATACCACCAGCACTAAAGCTAACAGTAGGGTACATCTACATCCACAAAAGTTTAAAGGAAGATATAACTAGTGTTTGGAAACATTAGGTTAACTCCTTCCTGGCTACCTTAATAAAGTGCACATTTTAACAGTGAAGGCATTCTGTGGCCTGTGTCTGTGGGCTGGACCCAGCAATCTGTTAGTGGAAGATAACTTCCCACAGGTCTTCCCCACTTCCCCTTCTCACAGTAGCCATTTCTGACCCTGGGAAAGTTGATTTCCAGAATTGTGGAACACACATGGAGTGGGACACATGATGGACTGCAGTGAGGGAGTTAAGGGGGTATTGTTACTGCTCCTGCCTCTACTGTCAATGAAGTTGTGCTGATGCATGGAAGAGAAGGAGGGAGCAATTTGCAGCCCACCAACATGAGTGGCTGTTACTATTTGTGAGTCCTGCAACCCCAGGAATGAACTTTCCTAGGACTGGAAATGACTACTAGAAAAAGATGTCAAGATCTGCAGTCCTTTGTGCAAGTGAATCATCCTATGCCTTTAGGCAGGATAAATGTTCTCGTTTTTCAGATTTAGATATCTTCCTGATGGGCACGTTTGCTGCAAGATTTGCAGATGTATTCTCTCTGTGATAAATTTTTAGAAAAATTCAGACAAGATGGCTTTTGAAGTGATCCCTTGTTAATAGAGAGCCAGTGCGGTGTAGTGGTTAAGAGTGTCAGACTAGTATCTGGGAAACCTGGGTTTGAATCCCCACTCATGCCATAGAAGCATGTTGGGTGACCTTGGGCCAGTCACATAGTCTCAGCCTAGCCTAACTCCCAGGGTTGTTGTGAGGATAAAATGGAGTAGAGGAGAACAGTGTAAGCCACTTTGTATCCCCATTGGGGAGAATGGTGGAATACAAACAAATTAAATAATGTCAACGAATAAGACGTTCTCTGAATTAAGTGCTTTGAACTTCTTTATAAAAACAAAAGGCATCTCTCTCTGTTTTTCATTTATATCAGCTTGCTTATGACACACCCTTGTGATTACATTTGTCTCTTGTTCTTGGAGTCCCTTTTAACTATTTTGTATTTATATGTCCAGACTGGTTTTAATCCCAGAACAGATTTAGGTCTGGTCTACATATGCAGCCTATGCCGCCTGACCCTCTTCACTGACTTGCACAGGTGCCACTCTCCTGTCCCCCATCTTCTTACCAGGACTGCCTTTAAGTTGTCTGGGGACTGCCTCTCTTCTAGCCTCACCTTCACCATCCTGAGGGCATGCCTTCTCTAGTCAGGGCTGCAAAATGATTCTAATGCCCAGTTGCAGCCCATGTTACATCTTTTGGGCCACAGCTGTCCCACCAACTTAACCTTCACAGTGTTTTCACTGCCATAGCTGAGGCCAGCCTTCTGGCCCCACAAACCCCCTTGCCCTTCACACAAAGTACTTTGTTTTCCCCCAGAATGTTTCTCCCAAATTTGCTTAGCAGTACATAAGAACATAAGAGAAGCCAATGTTGGATCAGGCCAATGGCCCATCCAGTCCAATATCCTGTCACACAGTGGCCAAAAACACCAGGTGCCATCAAGAGGTCCACCAGTGGGGCTAGGACACTAGAAGCCCTCCCACTGTTGACCCCCCCCCCCAAGCACCAAGAAGACAGAGCATCACTTGCCCCAGAGTCCCTATCTATACCTTGTGGCTAATAGCCACTGATGGATCTCTGCTCCCTTGAAGCTGTCCATGCTTGTAGCCACCACCACCTCCTGTGGCAGTGAATTCCAAGTGTTAATCACTCTTCGGGTGGAGAAGTACTTCCTTTTATCTGTTCTAACCCGACAGCTCAGCAATGTCATTAAGTGGTAGAAGAAACCATGAGATGGGATCACTTATATGCATTAGGACAAAGTTAATTAAGGCTTCCGGTCGGGCTAAGATGGAGGACTGACACACTTTCGCGATTGTGCGAAGTGAGCGACGGCCGCTTTTGACAGCTTGGGCAGTTTTTAGCCCAACGCATCGCTCCCCAGTGAGGGGGGGGGGGACAAGCAGGCAGCAGCGCCTAAGAGGGAGTGTGAGGTTGGCGTGATCCGGCTCCCGAAGGAGCCGTTTCATGCTTTGATCTCCTCCCCCGAAGAAGGCAAGTGCCAAGCAACTCTGCAGCGGCCGTTCGAGCCGGATTACCGGTTTAAGCTCTCTACCAGCCGACCTCTTGAAGATGGGCAACAACAGTAAGTGAAAAGAAGCAATGCGAAACCCGATTTGATCGTGCTAGATAACAATAAACGTGCCGCTTACCTGAACTGTGATAAGATAAAAATTGAAACAAGCGGTTGAGCGGGAAATGACCAAACATTCCCAGAAATCCGATTCCGGCAAAGAAAATAGTTGATTGAAGGCTTTAAAACAGTAAAAAAGAACATTGTTTAACATTCCTGCGGTGGGAATTGAGATATGTGCGCAGCCGAAAACCGAAACTGACGAACTGTATCGCGGGAGGAGCAGGCCGGTGTAACGAAAAAAATACTCCGAGGTGCTGGAACAGGAAGAGGAAGCCCTGAAAGAAGGGCTGAAGCCAACAGGAAGCCAACAGGAAGAGACTCGGAGCTACAAGAGAGCAGAACCGGAAGTGAGTGTATACGAACAGACGGGACCTGGAATACGGTAACCTGACCTACTCTATACCCGAATACCATAGAGAAGTTGCGCCCGACATTTTGAGGAGGACCTGACTTTAAATTTGACTTTAAACTTCTTTTAGAGGGTTTTTAAAAGCGAAAATAGAAGGGAATGGCTGATTGAAGGCTACCCTTTAGAAGAGACTGTTTGTTTGTGAATTTGCGCACCGCAGGAAAAGCACCAAAACGGAGACCAGAAGAGGACCGAAAAGAGCTGACTCTGATCCTGACGTTAAGCCAAAAGTGAGACCAAGAACTAATTCAACACCAACTAGGCTGACACCAACCCCCAAGATGTCAAAAGAGAGGGAGAAGGATAAGAAAGAGATGTATGCTGCCATGGAGGCAATGGAGAAAAGGATGCTGGAAGCAATACAAGCTATGGGAGAACAAAGTGAAAAAAGGATGGGGGAACAGATTGAAAAGCAACTGGAGGCACAAATGGCAAAGCAGACTCAGATTCATCTGAAACAACTTGAAGAGGTTCAGGAGAAGAACATAGCGGCAATTAAAGATTTGGTCACTACTGAGATAACTTCAATCAAGCAAGAAATAGAAGGAGTCAAAAAGGAGATTCAGGCTAATGCAACCAAAACTACGGAAGTGGAAGAGAAGATGCAACAAGTGGAAGAAAAACAGGATTCTTTGACTCAGCAATTTAGAAGATCAGAAACAATGATGGAGTTCAGAAGGATGCAAACCCATCTGAGATTCAGGGGCATTAAAGAGAAGGAAAATGAAGATATAAGAGATGAAATGATGAAGGCAATAACATCATATTTGGAAGAAGATGAAGGGACAATGGACTCTGATTTTGATTTGATATACAGAGTGAACTCCAGAATTGCAGAAAAGAAAAATTTACCAAGAGATGTTATTGTACAATTTGTAACAAGAACAACTACAGAAGATATTTTTAAGAAACAATTCACCGTCCCTTTTGAAATGGAAGGAAACAAGATTATGGTGATGAGAGAACTCCCCCGAGCAGTACTG